TACAATTCAGCTCTTTTGTTCTGAAACTTCTATCCACTGTAAACACTTAAAGGATAAATGTCCCTGAAATGAATATTTAAAAACTTTCTTACATCAAAAATCTTATTTATGCGATTGGATAGTATGCTTGTCTTCTATGGATTGCTTTTAAGAGGTTATATTTTGTCCATGCATTTATTTTCATTTTTATGGAATCGAACACTATTCATTTATAGTGTGTGAAAGCATATGTTTATATCTATTATTACATACATAATGTATATATATATATATATAGCTTTGCATAGCTATATATACAATTATATATGTATAGTTGTTACCATATATATATTCATGTATATCTATATAAAATGTCACAACAAATTTTGGGTCACAACTACAGTGTTATTTACACCTTTCTTTAGGAGACATGTTCAATTGTTTACAATAATGCCATGGACTTGATTGCTGGTTTGGCTTTTGGACTTTTGTCCTGTTGTCTTAGTCCCCTGTGCAACAAGCCATATAGGCTTCTCTCATTGTTTTAACCAGGTTTGAACTGACATCCTAGCAGTGATGCTTAGATTTTCTGTGGGTTTTTTTTGAAATGCTGTTTTCAACCTCTTGAACCATAGCTACACTTCTAATGACATGTGACTGTTAGTTTGTGTTTTCATATTTATATCATGTTTAAGTAGTTGTACAAAAAGCCTGCCATTCATCAAAGCAATATTTGAAGAACGGTGAACAAACTTTGCCACTTCCCAATCCTGCGACTAACTTTAAAAAAATATTTAAAACACAGACAAAAAGAAAGAAAAGTTGATTTTATTGAAAAGAAACAACAACCCATCACTAAATTTTTGAGCACAGGTACTGTTTTAGGTGGCACTGTACACACAAATGTAAGGAACAGATTTTGCGTCCAGCCCACCACTGTTAGGATTGTGTGTGCTTTCTATGCCCTGGTTATTACTTCTCCTGTGACGTATCTTCTTACTACTTAGTACGACTCCTTGACTGGTGAAAAATGAGTGAGTTTCTGATCATTTGTATGAGTAAGAGCCACACTGTTTGGAAGAAATCTTTTCTGCTTGATAGTATGGCAGCTAGAGCTGAGCACAGGAAGCATTTACTAGATGTTGGCTGCAGGATAGGAATCCATGAGTGATTTCTAAAAGTGATGACAGAGGGACATGTAAGACAGGACGCCAACTCTGTTGCCCTAGATATTTTCTTTAGCCTTGACCCCAAGACCACAGAGCATCATATCCCAAAGTGACCGAGTTAGGAGGATACAGTGTCCAAACATAAGAAGAAAGACCTGAAACAACTCAGAGCTGCAGGATGCTTAATGGCCATTGGGGTGACTCTTTTCTTGGCTTTACTGGTCCCACTGAATACAATAGTAATGGTCCCTGTCTATCAAATTTGCACATATTTTATGTGAATGCACGGCTTGCAACTAGATGTGCATTGGTTACCAGTCAAGCATGAAGTTAATTCTTTTTCTTTATACTTATAGCCTCTGAATTCTAGGCTGCGGTCTCACATACTGTAAGGTATTACTGTATGTTTGCATGTGCTCCCTCAGGTACTGGAGTTTGGATTGGCATCATGGGCTATGTCCTTGAACACTATGGATCAAGCCTTCTGGTCCAACAGTGGAGCCACACCTCTGTTGCACATGGATGCACTTCTGTATTTCATTTTCATCAGAGCACCTGGGACTTACCTTGGCATCACTTAAGCAGACTTTCTATTCCTGAGGACCTCTCTTCTTTTTTAGGATTTTGTTTGCTTACTAGTTGGATTTGTGACAGGCTTGTGGCTGCAGTTCAAGTTCTGGGTCCTGTCTCTGAATTGTTTTTCTTAAGACTAGTGCTTTGACATTTGAGCCACAGTTCCAGTGCCTGGTATTTGCTGGTTCTTTGGAGATCAATGTCTTATGGACTTACCTGTACACATGGACTCTCATGGAATAGTGATCCTCAGATCTTAGGCTCCTGTTGAGCTGTGATGACATAGGTGAGTCATAACCCACTCCTCCTCCAATCCCTCTCATTTAAGATTCAAGACAAGTATGGTCCCTATAGTTTGGGATCCCATGCTATGGGTCCTTCTAACAACAAAAGACTGATTTTATTGTTGTAAGCTATGTGAGTTTTTCTCACTTTAAAAATGTTGTCTTCTGATTTTCCAGTCAGTATATTACTATGTCTTTAGAAGGAATTGTATCTTTTTTTTATCCTGGACCTGGGTCTTGAACTCAGGACATGGGCAATGTCTGTAAGGTTTATTTTTAAGCCAGTGTTCTACCACTTGTGCCACAGCTCTACTTCTGGTTGTTTTCAGTGCTTAGTTGGGGCTAAGTCTAGGGACTTTCCTGGCCAGCTTTGCTTCACACAGCAATCCCCAATCCTCAGCCTTCTGAGTACGTAGTATTACAGTTATGGGCCACCAAACCTTGGCTGTGAAAACATTCTTTTACCTCTCAGTAGACCTGCTTCCACACAAAGTGCTGCACTTTGCCATACCCTGTGGAAATTTGCTTGTGTTGTCATGTAGATTCTGCATTGTTCAACATAGCTGAGTTTGTTCTCCTCCCAAGTAAGTGATTTGATAGCAAATATGAAATGCAAGCCAAATTTAGGTTTTTCTTTTCTGGACTATTCATGACCCACTTCATGTCCATTCAGACCTCTTTGTAAAATGGGGCATTATGACCCTACCAATGTTTTCCTACATTCCGAAAGATTTATGATATAAATTTAAGCTAAATATTCTTGCTTATAAGTTGTCAAACTCTATTATTATAACTCTTTGTTCCTTTTCTCATGAGCAATTTCCACTAGTAACCTTTTCCAATTAGGGATGAATTTTCATAGTTGTTCATGTGTGTTCATGGAAGATTGGTGGAATAGGATTTTATTCATTCTGTTAAAGTTCATAGTCTGCCTATGGGCCCCTTCATTGATTCTTGGTTCCTTATTCAGAGCGCTGAGTTTTCTATTCGTTTATGGAGTAGTAAAATCTTTGTGGACACTCCTGATGGTGACTCTGAGTTCATTCAGAAGTGAGAAAGGTGTTAGGCACTGGCAGCCCATGGTTGTAGGACAAGCTCCTCAGGAGGCTGACACCTAGGGATCACCATCTATGTCAGGTTCATAGAGAAATCCCCGGGACTCTAATCTCCTTTTAAGTAGCTAAAAGCAAAGAGTGAAACTGGGGCTTAAGCAGAAGAGCATTGGCTTTGTGTACAACTTCTAAATGCCATAGCTTTGGTGCTGAGTTCAGGCCCCTATAAGCACAAAAATGTAAAGAAGAGAGGTGTTTTCTTGAAGGAAATAATCTCTGATAGCTGATAACACTGAATTATGTCCCTCAAAGGATGAATTTGATCGATAGTATTCTCAAGAAATATTTTTAAATGTAATTAGGTATTTTTTTGACCATGTCCTTCCACCCATTCTATATCTACTTCTCCTCCCACTTTCCTAACTATTCTTAGTACTGCCCAGCCAGTATTCCTTCACCTGCACCTTCAACTTGCAGAAAGGCTCAGTCCAATACTCTGTATCATGGAGTGTGACCAACTGCACCAGCATAGATGCTACACAACGTGGGTGGGAATGACACTGGAAGAAGATTTATCTCCTGTGCTTTATAACTAGGAATGGTTGGGAAGATAGACTCCACCTCGTTTTGTCTCTCAGCCCCTTGTGGTATTTGATGGTGTCCACACACAAGGTCTGATTCTTTTGCCCAGAAGGAGTGGTTGGACACCAGGGACATTTGTAATCTCTGACATCTTCAGAGTCTGGTGCCTCTAAAAGACACTGTGAGTCTTTGCCTGTAGTGTGATCCCACACAACTGCTGACTCACTCTAGACAAGTAGAGGGATGTTATAGCCTTGTGTATTTGTAGTTTAATTGAAGTAGTGAACCTTGCTAACATGGGCATGTGTGTTGAGCAAACGAATGGTACTTGGTCAGTCTACATTTTGGCTGGAGTTCAAGTTGCTCTAGTTCAGTGGGCCAGGCTTTAGCTTGGCCATTAGTGTCAGCAATACCTGGAATCCTTGCCTCCTCCTTGTGAAGTTTCTACCACAGTTATATATATGACTCTCCCATGAATCATTTTTGATAACTCACAGCTACAATGATTGTGTACTGAATGACATGTGTGTGGGGCGGGGGGGAATGGGTTAGTGGAGGGTGTTGTGGATCTTGTGTTATAGTAGTGGGGATAGAAACCAAGTTTTTTCTCTCAAGGCTGGGGCTTTAATACTTGAGTCACAAGTCTACTTCTGGCTTTTGGCTGGTAAATGTCACATAAGTGTAACAAGGATTACCCTATCCAACCTGGCAAAGTCACCGATTCTGTTTTCAGCCTCCTATTTACCTGGGATGCTCTTGGTGAGCTCTCAGTGTGTCTCCTACAGGGGGTGTTCTGGTGATTTTTGAGACATACCGCTATTATCTACAGGAGAATGATTTACACTTCTCAAGATCCACTAAGCCTACCTTCCAACTGATTTAACTGTTGTTGTTTGAATGTGGACATCATATTTCATTTCCCCCTTCTGTTGTGAGGCTGACTCATGATTCTTCTACAAAACCTAGAGACTTTCTCCTTTCTGGCCTTCATTTTCCTTGATGAATCTTTTCCTTCCTATGTGTTAGTCCTGCTTCCTCTTCCTTGTTCTCCCATAGTACACTATTTTCTTTTGCCAGCAAAGCTTTTGATGCCTAATAATACCTGAAAAGAACACATGTTTACTTACATGGGAAAACAGATATGTTTTATCAATCATTTATTAATTGTACCATGTTGCATTGTTCCCTTTGAAGAACTATTAAAATACAGAAAGCAAGAATTTAAGTGTACTTTAACTATGAAGCTAGGTGAAAATATCAATACATTTGTATATGTTTATGTAGTTTCTATAACACGTATAATATACAGGGGATTAAAGCTAAATTGGGTAGTGGAAATGGGACTCATAGTCTTAAAGGTATTATATGGCATAGCCATAGTACTGGGCAATCTCCATGTCTATTTGTCTCTGGTGGAAGAATGGGATTTTTCCCACAAAGGTGTTTTTGGCAGCCTTGCCACGCTCTTGCTGAGCCCGTCTTTTCATGGCTTCCCGCTCTGGCCTCAGCTCCTTGCTGATGGGATCTGACTCTACTGGGCCAGGAACATGGGATTTCCTCCATGGAATGGGTTGCAAGCTGAAGTCTTGTAGGAGATATTGGTGTGGAGGCTTAGGTAGTGAGCTGAGCTTGGTGGCAGTAGTGTTCCACCGAGATGTGAAGGATGAGGTTTCGTAGGGTGCAGGCCTACTAGAAAGAACAGACTGGGGACGTTTGTTGATTGCCCCCAGAGTGGAATTGCTGATAATAGGCCGTGTTGTCATCAGACATGAGTTGTCAGTAGCTGGTTGGGCTGCATTGACTGGAACAGGCTGGGCTGTGTTAGGAAGAGGCCGGGTAGAGTAAGCTCCAGTGAGTCTCCTGGAGGCCAGAGACTGTGGCCTGCGAGAAGCAGGTCGAACTCGAGGCTTCTCTGGGGAGAGAAAAGGCAATGGCACCAACTTGACCTTTCCAGGTGGAGGCAGCAGCTCACTCTGGCTTGGGGAGGGACACTGGTTTTCTGCACTGCTCTTTGTTTTGTTTACTCGAAATTTCTGAGGACTTTTAGAATGCAGCTTTGATTGAGTCTCTGTTGAAAATCTGGTGTCTTTGGAAGTGTTGGCCTGTCCCAAGGCCCTGGAAGTAGGCAGCCCCGTTTTCTTCCCACTCTTGTCACCCAGTGCATGAAAAACCTGCACTGACTCCATCATGTGCATGGCTAGGTGGCTTCGAGGCTTTCTCAAGGCCTCTTGGGAAGGCTCAGGTTGGTTTCTCTTACGCCTTTCCTTTGTAGTGCTTGTCTTCTGTGTTTGCACTTGGTTCCCTGGCTCTTTGGTTGTTCTAATGCGCTTCCTGTTGGTTTCTCTAACCTGTTGGTTCTTTTGCGGCCCCTGGGTCTTGGTTTTGCTGATGCTGCTGTGTGGTGGTTTTGGCCGTTTCTTGGTTGAAGGCCTGCATAGATTTCCAGTGTCACTGGGTGGGAGAGTGCACACTACTGCTTGTTCCTCCAAGTGCTTCTCTGGGTTCTGGCGCTGGACTTTGGCCTTGGAAGCTTCATCACAAGTACAAGGGCTTCATGCTTGTTCTTTCCTTATTCAGCTGAGGGACCTTTGCTGACAATTAGGTTCTTCTTTTGCAGGGTCCTTTGGAGGGTTCTGATATTTTGGGGTTGGGTTGTTGTGTCGACTCTCAATTTCATAAGGTCTGTCAGTGAATTAAAAATTAAAGTGAATTTACACTAACATTCAATGTTAGATTAAAGTGAATCCAAATAGTATGATTATCCTCCCACAGCATGGAAATGTTTTCAAGAGCAATGTTCCGTTCGATTCCTTTTTTAAAGATGTCTAGTTCTTCAAGGCTCAGGCTGATCTTTTCTAAAATGAACAAAACACAAGCCTGTATTCCTTGGCCCAATTGACTCATGCATGCCAATCAGTGGGGAATGATGTCGTGGATTCTTAAAGGATCATGCCATTCTACAGAGATCTGAGAGACATCCAGAGGCTTTACATAGTTGGTCTGAAAATCTCCTAAACATTTACCTTCCTTTTGTTTCTGGCTTAGACCTGGAAGCAAGGCCTAGAAAATGGTAGTGATTTAGACTGGAACAATGACTGAAATGGGTTTAAGCTAGGTGGATTGTTGCTTTCTGTGGATTCAGCACTTACCTTCCTGCAGGCGTTGGGGTACTCTGTATTGTCTGGCGGACACAGTGTGAGGATGGGAGGCCTCCATGCGAGGGATTTGTCCATCTCCTGGAGAGTCTCCATGAATTCCAAGAAATGAAGGAAAATTTAGTCCCCTATAAGTGAGATGTCCCACCTTTTCACCAGCCAATGAAGCAGTCTGTGCCAACACTCGGCATGTCCTGATGTAGGCCCACATTTGGATCACGGGCAAGACCCTGTGTTTCAGGTGGGTTCTGAATGCTCTAGCTATCAATGGTGACAATGTGATGTCATTGTTTCTTTCCCTGTTTTACTTTAGTCATTCATTATATGGAATATAAAATAAAAGTTATTGAAAGAACATGAAACATTTCTGACTTGGCAGAAAGCATCTGCTTGACATTCTCTTGGTTCTAGGTTCAAACCCAGTCATCCCCTATGGAGGTAAGCAAAAAAAGTAGTGGAAGGCCAGGTATTCTCTTAGAGGATAGTCAATTTTTGTTACCGTCCTGTGAGTAATACCTGTTTTATATTGCAACATTGAACAGCAAGGAATATTTTCTGTATCCTTTTTTTGAATTTTTCACTGTGTGTGTGTGTGTGTGCGCGCACGCGCGCGCACGCATGCATATAACTGCATATGCTCTTAGAATTTTAGGATTCCTTTTGGAATCTTACTCTCTGGCTTGGCCATTTTCCTCTAATTTTGGTGCTCTTAACCTCATGGACCAATCCTCTATTTTTAGATTTTGGCTGGTTACCTGACAACAAGAATCACAAGGACATATATGCTGGGATTAGTTTTGATTATCAATGCTCAGATCTCAGCCTCCTGAGTAGCTAGGCTTCAATGCATTATCCAGTGGCTCCCAACAAGAAAAAACTTTACACGCACAGATAGGACATATCCTGAACCTTGTTGTATTTAACCGCATCTCTGAACAAGGAAAATAGAACTGTCACTTGCCCAAAATTATTGAGGTATTTTCCAAAATATCATTATTAACAGATCAATGAATGGGAGTAGTCCATTGCAGTGTTTTTTTCAAGTTGAAGTGAAAGCATCACCTCCATGTATGTGCCTGTGATCTTCTCCTAAATGCAGCTCAAATGGCCATTATCATTCCAATATTCCTTTGCTTAATAATTAATTGCTCAATTTTGTGTTGGTATTGAGCTCTGCATCTAGGACAGTTTGTTTCTTGGTCAATGATGTACTACTTGAGCCATATCTTTTTTTGGTGGGGTGTCTGATTGTGGGGCCTGAACTCTGGGCCTGGGCGCTGTCCCTCAGCTCTTAAGACAGCTCAAAGCTGGCGCTCTACCACTTGAACCACAGCGCCACTTCCGGCTTTTTTCTTTTTGCGTATGTGGTGCTGAGGAATTGAACCCAAGGCCTCAGGCATGCAAGGCAATCGCTCTACCACTGAGCCACCTTCCCAGGCCTCTTGAGCCATATCTTTAGTCCTCACTGCCTCAAATGGAGTCTACAGCTTGAGAGAATGTAGTGAAAGTAGTGGTTGTGGCTCAGGAGTCCAATCAACTTGTGTGTGTGTAATTATCCTTGCTCAAATATAGAATAGGTGTTCCCAAGTTTACTCTTATTGGCTCTTTTTACTCACCTGGAACATTTGTGTCTTAGATGGTCTCAGTAGTCCCTGAGTAGTACATTCCCAAGGTGCAGATGGGTGGAAAAACATTGATGGGATGAACACCCTTGAGGTCCATCCCTATGTCTGATTGAGGGGTAGAGAGCCTACTCCCCATGAGGCTGCAGGCAGGGACCAAGTTCTCCAAAGAACAGGGGCTCCAGTTTTGGGGGGGTGAAAGCAACAGTCCTGGCTTCCTTCCCAGTAGGGAGGGGACAGTTAGCCTCTTCATTTTCCATGGGAGGAGCTGGGGTTCCCTAAACGAGACTGGGAGACAGTGATGGATAAGGAGAGACTGTGGCTCTGGCATGTGCACATGTTGTGTACTCGCCGGTCAAAGTAGAGGAAGAGATCACTGTGCTCTGCTGAGTGAGAGTCACAGTGCTGTGGCCTAGCATGTCCCATTCCCAAATCCTGGAATAGGAGGCAGCTGAGGTGGAGATGTGGCTGTGTGCAGCCTGCCCTGCCCACACGGTTGTGGTAGAATATTGGCACAGGTAGGCACTCCCTATGAGTGGGTGGAAAGAGGTGGCCAAGGGTGATGGCAGTGGCCAGGCTGAAGGGAAGACTGGAATGTGGAGTCTCGAGAAGTTGTAGGCACTGCCTTTTAGAGAAGAGGCATTGCTCACCACAGCAAGAGAGAGGTGCAAATTTGCAGCTCTATGTAAGTATGGATTGTTCATCTTGTAAGATGTAAGAACATGATGGAAAAATTGATGAGATTGATGGACTTTCTGTACCCTTGCCTGGATCAGAAACCCTCTAATCTTAATCATCACTGACATATTAACATTCAGTTTAGCTGGGTGATAAGTGCGGAGAGACCTTTGCTATCCTTCTGATGAACTTTCCTTTATTGGGCAACTTAAGACAAGACAAGTTCATGTGCTGTTGTCTGGGACACCAGCAAGCATCTCTGTTACTGCTTTATCTTCCCCTGCGTCTTCCCTTGGATATTTTTACAAAAACTGTAACTTCACTTCATTAGTGAGGAAACTGATTGTCAGAGGTCAGCCTGATTGATTCAAGTACTTCCATGGTGGTAGTATCAGCACCAGGTTCCAGAGCCTGCTTCCTTTGCCAGGACATCAATCTGAGAAAACACTGGAAATAGGGAAAGATGAAGCTTTTCACATAGGGCAATTGGTTTTGTTCATGAGAAACAGTGATCACCAGGTGCTGGTGATTCAAAAATAAAATCAGTCCTACTCAGTGGCTGAGATTTTCTCAAACCCAGCCTGGGTCGAAATCTGGAATCCTCTTGTGTGCAGGTAAGCACTGAATAGTGGAAATGTTTGCCTAAAGCAAAAAACTTTGGAACCTGTGGCTTGAATTGAGAAATCAGACCCTGAATTCAACATATAAAACTAGCATTCTCTCTCTCTCTCTCTCTGTCTCACACACACACACACACACACACACACACACACACACACAAGGAAACATTGTTTGTGTTTTCATTGATATTGTTGGGTTTTAATCTTGTGCAACTCACACCACATTCTAGAGTCCACTTTAGACACAGATATGGTGTTAAATAAATGGGCATTGTTTACCCTCTTCAGATATGACTTGTGATCCAAAATCACAGTGTCTCCATGAGACATTGCAATGTTTTTTGCAAGAAAAGTGTTAATCTTTGTGAGCCTGTCTTACCCATCAGTAATATAGCAAAAATAAGAGTAAAAATAATAATGATAATATATAATAAATAAAAATATCATATATGGGACTCATGGAGGAAGATATGGTATATATTGCAAAGGTATGCAATATTTAAAATATGAATTATAGAACTAAAAATATAAAGATATCCAAGTATTTTATATTTACTAAAAAAATTAGATCATCACATGTGCCATATTATGAAAAATGAATATTATCTACTTCATTTTAGCCAAAACAAGCACACAAGTAGAAACTGATTGTGCATTAACAATTTTTTTAGTGTGTCTGTATACTGGTCCTGGGACTTTAACTCAGGGCCTGAGTGTTGTTCCAGAAAATTCTGATGCAAACTAGTAGTCTACTATTGAGTCCCAGTTCAACTTCTGGCTTTTTGGTGGTTATTTGGAGATTAAAGTCTCATGACTTTTCATGCTCAGGCTGGCTTTGAACCATGATCTTCATTTATCAGCTTTTTACCTATCTAGGATAACTGATGTGACTTTACCAGATTTTTTTTGTAACAATGTTTCAGTAAATTGCCAAGGCTGGTATCCAACATGTAATCTTTTACCTCAACATTTTGATAGCTGAAATGTCTAGCATTCTGAAACATAAGAAACTCACTATGCTTGCTTTGGAATGAATTTCTTGCCAGTACATATTGACAGGAAAACCATATCTGTAAAAAGAAAGTAAAGAGCAGGAAAATGTAGTAAATACTAGTTTTTAAGCAGTCATAATTTACATTGATCAATATTTTAATAAAAATGAGTAGGTAGCTGGGTACTTCTTTATTCTTAGCATGTGGGAGGCTGAGGTTGGAGAATCAATTATGGCATGATGTTTGAGAACAGTTTAAGTAAGAAAGCATGCAAACAAAATATAAGCAAAGTAGAGACAAAAAAATGATAAGAATGTATAGCAAATTAATAAATTAAAGGACTTCGATTATTGAAACATTCATATTTGTCTTAATATTGCAGACCAAGTCATAAATATCAACTTTACTAGATAGCTTTTAAACATTAATATAGTCAAAACAAGCATCATAAAAGTCTAATACATTGTGTTTTTGTATTTATATTTATTCTGAAAACCTATCTCATACTTATCTTGAAGTTGAGCAAAATATTACCCTAAAATTTGAAAAATAACCAGCATTAGAATGTAATTTAATCAACTTTTTCATTAATTTACTATTATTGCTATTATCTCTCCTGGAGCATGATCAATACCTTATCTATGTTGAGCTAAATTGTGACACTGAAGTATATCTCCAGCCCAAAATAGTACTTTTAAATTTAGAAATCCAACCTGAAACAAAAAATTGATTTAGTTTCATGTAGAACTAGAGATATGGAGATTAACTTTTGATTTTCATCCTTAGAAATATTTTTCTTTATGTCTTTTTGGACTAAAACAGTATCAGTGATCTTTAGGATTCATGTTTTGTTTTACTACAGACTTATTATAAAGATAAGAAGCACCTCTTACTAGAAATCAACTTCTCATGAAAGTTAGAATATGTCATTAAAAAAAATTCACCCCTGGCTTCAGTGGCTCACACCTGTAATCCTAGCCACACAGGAGTCGAAAATTGGAGGATTGTGCTTCAAAGCCAGCTTCAGCAAAATAAACTGTGATAATCTGTTTCAAAAGCTGTGCTTTGGCTCATGCAGTAGAGCCTAAACTTTGAGCACAAAATGTGAGGCTTACAACCCAGCTGCTGAGTTCAAGCCAAAGGACTGGCATTTTAAAAAAAATCAAAGAGGCTATGATTTTCATAGGTATTGTTGTGGTCTTAATTTGTGCAAGTCACACATTGTTTTGCAAAGGTCACTTAAAACCCAGACAATATCTCAATTAAACGGCATTGTTTAACCTCTTCATCTCTGACTTGTGATCCAAATTCACAACGACTCCATGGGAGTTAATTTCTCAAGAAATGTTTTTTGTACAAAAAAAATGAAACTGTTTCAGTTTCTAGTTAGTTACTCATCAGTGATATAGTAAAAATAATAGTAGTTATTATGATAATAGCAGTGATAGTTGAATAAAGACGGCATATTATACAGGACTGATAGGTAGGAAGATGTACTAGGTTCTGGAAAAATAGACAAAATTAAAACATGATTTATAGAACTAAAAATATAAAGATATGAAAGCAGACACTCTGAAAACATTATAGAATGGTATAGGAGAAACCCTGGGTCTCCTTGGCACAGGCCGAAATTTTCTTAAAAGAGACTCAGAAACAAAACAAATCAAAGAAAGGTTGGACAAATGGGATTGCATGAAATTG